ACCTTTACAAGCATCAGCTTCATTTTCTTCCTCTTTTCCTTCAAAACATTTGACACTTGAGCACTCAGACTACCACAACTCAGTACTCCTGAAATAGCAATTTGGAGCAATTCACCATCCACACACAAACTTCAGCTTCTAAAGCAAAAATGAAAGAGGAAAAAAAACAGATGGGGAAAAAAAAAGGCAAAGAATCGCCACGAAACCAAACCAAAATATTCCAAACTCTGAGGCTTTCCACTCTAATTCTCAGGTGAACGTGCAAAAAGCATTATTCCTCCAAGGCTAACACTAGGGTAGGGAAAACATTTGGGATGGAAACAGGAATATTATCCTTCCAGTCTTTGTTTATCCTACATAAAACCTAAATCAAGACGCACGTTATGATCAGTGTAATATGGAACACATGGAAACCCAAACACATCCATTAATATGGCCAAGGCACCGAGGCTAACACAACACTGAGACTGCACAGCCAAACACTGCTGTGCCAGCACAGTTCTGACCCCTTCTCCCCTCAGGACAAGCATGTATTTACCTACAACTCAAAATGAAAGAAAGTTTCAGAAAATCAGAGAGGCTAAAATTGGACTTGAACCCCATGAAGCCTAACAAACACTCAGCTTCACAGAGAGAAAGCAAATCCTGATGACTTCCCTGAAGCTAATCACAGTGCAAAAATATAAAACAAAAGAGAAGTTTCTGCAGATTCTGGATTTTATTTGTCCTTTTGATTCAAGCAATCAGGATTCTTGCAAAAGTGCTCTGCATTTCATCCTTGATGCTCAAGGTTACTTGCCACCATTAAAGATTCTAAGCTCATTTGAAACCAACTGCACTAACAAAATATTTATTGCCAATATAGATCAGGCTCTGTATTTTTGATTATGCTTCATACATCATTTGCAGTAAAAGTTATGTGAATTTAGTCACTGTTTGAAGAATAAATCCAGGTTTTTGTGGCAAAAAGCCACTTCTGCAGTGATTTACAGTCATGGCACAGAGTAGAGTGGCCCAAGCTCCTGGAAGTTTTCAAGTTTCCAAAGAGAGCCACACACATTTTAAGCACACATGCATTTCTGCCTCTATTATCCCTTTTCTCCTAAATATGCACTGCACCACCAGAGGAGCTCCCTGATCCTGTCAAACCATTCCAGAATAAACGGAGAAATCACATTTATAGCCAAAAAGAATAAGAGCAACGGGTGTTGGTTGGGCAGACTGGAAATCACAGCTGTAACTAGGAGTTATTTCTAAACTGATAATCCCACATTCTATACCTGTAGGAACTGCACGACAAAGGTCACTTTATGGATGACATTGCGGAACACAAAGACAAGACCAGATTTAAAATAAATGAAAAGTCACATTTTAGATCGTGGGTAAAAACCTGGATGACAAATAACATTCCTACACGAGTCTGAATTTTAACACACTAACACACATAAATGTTTGCAATCAGCAGAACCAAAGCAAACTGACTTTTGTTTGTTCTAATAAAGACTCAGCAGTAAAACCAGAGGGTAATTCTTCCAGTCACATATGGTCCTGAAAACTCAGGCTCTGCAATGAGACAGTGAAGAGGACAGGTAGTTATTTTGATGAAGCTCCTTGTGCAGCTGCACATGTGCCAGAACTGCTCATTATTTCCCTGACGTAACTTCTGCACTTGGGCAGGATGTCTGCTTTGAAGCCTCGATAAAATAGGGAGGTGGAGAATAAACCTAACCAGCTGGCAGCAAGGGGACAAAAAAAGCACAAGAAATGAGACACACAGACCAATCAAACCATAGAAAGCAATGCCCTGAGAGGGAACAGCACTCAGTGCTTGTGCCACGGAAGGTTCCTGGTGAAAACCAGGCTCTGGAAAATCAGGCTATGCAAAGAAACTGACTACAGATAACCATCCTACACACTTGGGCAGTCGAGTAGCTCCTGCAGCAAGACAGCAGATAATGACCACATCTGCCAGCAACAGGTAGGACTGGGAGATTTGTTTTAGCTAGGGTTGGACACAAATCACAGCTAGGCACCTATACTTCCTCTGCAGCAGAAACCTCTGCACTTCCTCTCTGCAGGAACCCCCAGACAGTGACTCAGTTTACACTAAAATAAACATTTACTAACGTAAACCACGCGGAGTTTCCAATTCCCCCTCCCTCCCCAGCACTACCTGCAGAGCAAACCTGGCCTCTGACTCCCAGATGGCTACAGCTTGCTAAGAGTAACCTGGATGTGCAGTTAAGAGATTGATTAAGCCACTTGATCCACCAAAGGATTCACTAAATTGACTGCCTCAATTTTCTCCAAAGCATTTTTGCTACCCACCTGAGAAGCCCAGCAACACTTTCCAAGCAGAATGTGAAACATTTAAGCATAATACCCGGATTTCTAGACTTCAGACACAATAACCACGACTGGTCACTGCTACTGTCCCAGCAAAACATTAGCAATCTGGACACAGAGCAGCAGCACATGCCCAGCACTTCTTGAATACGGATTTTATGTTTATATGCTAACAACCAGCTGTATCAACAGCCAGCAAATCCCAGACAAAAGTGTGGTAAGTCTTTGCCTGATGCTGGGTGAGACTGGTGAGCAGTACCCATGGCCTCCACAGCCTGCAGCCTGCTCCAAGGACACTCACAGGGATTGGGAAAGAGCTCTGTAACACATGTGGAAGGCACAGGAAAACAAGATGGGCCAGCCAAAATATTGCTCCAGAAAATGCAAGAGCTGCAGCAGGTGAATCCTCCATGGCCTCACACTCCAAACAGGCACAAATATCAAACTTCACCTGGGACACTGAAGTTTGTCTCCCAACCTCTCTAGAGGAACCACTAGAAGTTTCAGGAGCTAAACCAAAATGGACATTCCTAAGGCAAATACCTGTGTGTGTCCAGTTGTCAGGTGTGTCTCTAGAGCTGATTTTCTCAGCTGTAAAAGCAAACTGGCCAGAAGCTAACGTTATAAAACTGCTTAGTAGGACTTGTGCATCTCATGGAGACCCATTATCCCTGGGCAAAATTCCCAGGAACTGGCTCCAGGAGCTTGGAACTGGGGTATTACTTACAATAATGGCTGCAGTCCTAAACAACAGAGCAATGAATGCCTCAGTCTAGAGGAGTCTTGTAGCTGCAAAACTTAAATATCTGGGAAGCTCAGGGAGAGGAGGGAACTCCAGGAATACAGCAGATCCTTCCAGAACCTCCCTACAGATGTGGCCACAGAAGAGGTCTGAGAGCAGTACATAACTCCAGGAAACACTAACTAGACAAACAACACTAAAGGCACCTGAACTGAACAGGAGCTGGAACTGTAACAAAACAAAAAAAAATAAATAAACACTTTACAAAAAGCATTTCACAATCACAATAGACTTACAATTACAAAGGAGTTGGAGATGAAACACCGAACAAACTTTTCTAGATATGTCCCTTGCAAACCATTAAATTAAAATCAACAAAGCTGCTCTGAAGCACAGATAATACTGACTGAACTCTTTAAATGGCTTATTCCCACCTCTGCACCAGTTTTCTGTGTACTTCCTCCTCAGTCCTCCCATCTTTAACTGATGCAAAACCTTCTTCCTTGCTCATACTTCACTGGCCTCTCACACTCAGAATCCATTCACTCTTGAACTTCAGTGCTGAGCTGGAGTTTGTTGTACCTCTCTTGCAGATCACACTGTTACCCACTCACTGAAGGTGCACAGAGTGTTTTTCTGGCTTTGTCTGACACAACTATGAGCCCAGAGGTGTGTGGCTGAAAACCAGGGAGCTGAACTCATGTTTCCAGGACATGAAACCGAGTTGTGCAGTGATCATGTGAGTAAAGTACTATTTACATAGCAGTACCATATGTTCTGGGAGCTTCAGCGATCATCAAGACCTTTGCTCTACAAAACCTGCAGCCTAGCAACAACTGAGACATGTCCACAATTACAACAGCTATAATTCTCTGATAAATTCAATTATGTATTACCCAGTCTACCTTTGCTCTTCTAAGGGACTCTTATTACCCTGAAGCTGCTAAGTGTACCCATAACACCGATTTTAGGGCTGTACAGATCTGTCAAACTGCAAAAGCCTTGCAGAGCTCCAAAAGAAACTTGCAGATTTTAAACTGCTTACAAAGGCTACTTACACGCAGATGTAGCAGAGAAACGAGCAGACACTCAGGGGCACCTGATCAATCATCTACTCCAATTAACCTTGAGTTCACCTAGACCTCACGCCCGGAGACAGCCACAAGGACACGGCAGGCAGCAAACGGCCTCCCAAAGCACAGCGCTGCTCCAGCTGAGCCGCACGGAGGGCGCACTGCGGCAGCAACAAGTGTTTCGCGTCAGCCTCATCCACAGGTTCTAATACTTAAGGCAATCCATCCCATTTCCAGAGCTGCGACTGAGACACGCTCTGCTAACCTCTCAGCGCCCCACACGGCCTCCCCGT